TGGAACAAACAACAAAACAGGATATATGGTAAAGTAGACATTATCAAACCCTTTTTCACATTTATATCTTTCAGCTGGGGYCTATATAAAGTGGCACTGCAATACTTTGGTCTGAATTCCTTCTTATTGTGACTTTCAGCACTACTGGAGACTCAAAGTACACAACAAAATGTGTTAAAAAAAACTGTTTACATGATATTTCCCCTGCCATGCTCATGTGTGAAGGGTGGCAAATGTTCCATGATTTGGAAGAAGAAAGGGTTAAGGACGTTGGATTTAAAGTGCCTGTGACATACATATTCTTAAAATACAAAAAGTCAAAGAAAACATCTTTATATTTAAGAAACCTGACATTTTGTAACATAACTGGCATATTTTCTTTTGAACTTGGCTCAGCAAAAGTGAAACAGGAAGTGACATCAAAGGGAAATATTTAAGAAAAGGAGCTCTCTGGTCTTTGTTTATTGAAATAATATTATTCAAACTCTAACTCCTCTTCATCTGTCCCTGATAGTGACTCAATAATAATAATTATAATTATAATATTAGAAATATCAAATTCTTCTCTACAGTCTTTGTTGTTAGCCATTTTAATAACACTCTGTTCACATGCGGACATTCCTCTTTGACGTCACTTCCTGTTATTTTATACGCAAATATCTCAACAACAGATCATCCCAGCGACTTAAAAAATTGTTTTCTAGTATGYTATTAATGTTGTCTTTCCAAAAATGCATTCATATTTATTACAAAAATTGGATGTCACAGTCACTTTAARCCTAGAATATGATGTTTGTCAAGGGCTTTTAGTTAAAATTATTTGCTGAGCGTTAGAAAAGAATCTGCCTGCAGGTTCACCAGGAAATTATTTTAACTTCATGTTTCAAATGTTCTTACTCTAAAAACACAACAGTGGTTAAAATATTCACCTGTGGAATGAAACCTCTATCAGATTTGTTTAAAGCAACATATTTTTGCTAGACTATGTTTTTTTCAAACATTTTTAAGTGTTTAAATGTAAAAAAAAACTGGACTTTCTTTTTGATTTCATGAAGATATTTTTTGAGAAAGTTACATTTAAGGCTTTAAGCAAGTTAAGTGATTGGATCATTTTGGCTTGTGTCTTTTCTGTGTGTGTGTTTGTGTGTGTGTGTGGCGTTGTTTTTCCTACATCATGGGGCCCAGTTGGGCCCCACAACTTCGGAGGCTGATTTTGGGTTGGGTTTAGGACCAAGGTGTATATTGAGTTTAGGTTAGTTTTAGGGTTAGTGGTCAGAGTTAGGATATAAAATTACCAAAAAAATGAATGAAAGTCAATGGACAGGCCCCACAAGGATATAAAAACAAGTGTGTGTGTGTTTGGGGGCGGGTTGTTTCTGGTGACATTTGGGGGGCAGTTTTAAGACAAAAATCCTACATTTGGGGACAACTGGTGCATTTTGGGACAAAAGTCGAGTCCCCATTTGGTTTAAATGCCATTGGTGGGTTGGGGGTTTGGTTTAGGACCAAGGTGTGAATTGAGTTTAGGTTAGTTTTAGGGTCAGGGGTCAGGGTTAGGATATAAAATTACCAAAAAAATGAATGAAAGTCAATGGACAGGCCCCACAACGATATAAAAACAAGTGTTTTTGTGTGTGTGTGTGTGTTTGGGGGCAATTTTAAGACAAAAATCCTACATTTGGGGACAACTGGTGCATTTGGAGGCAAAAGTCGAGTCCCCATTTGGTTCAAAATGCCATTGGTGGGTTGGGGGTTTGGTTTAGGACCAAGGTGTGAATTGAGTTTATTTTAGTTTTAGGGTTTGTGGTCAGGGTTAGGATATAAAATTACCAAAAAAATGAATGAAAGTCAATGGACAGGCCCCACAACGATATAAAAACAAGTGTTTTTGTGTGTGTGTGTGTGTTTGGGGGCAATTTTAAGACAAAAATCCTACATTTGGGGACAACTGGTGCATTTGGGGACAAAAGTGGAGCCCCCATTTGGTTTAAATACCATTGGAGGGTTGGGGGTTGGGTTTAGGACCAAGGTATGAATTGAGTTTAGGTTAGTTTTAGGGTCAGATAGGCAACTGTGAGGTTAGTTTTAGGGTTCGTGGTCAGGGTTAGGATATAAAATTACCAAAAAATGAATGGAAGTCAATGGACGGGCCCCACAAGTATATAAAACAAGTTTTTTTTGTGTGTGTGTTTGTTTGTTTGTTGTTTGCACCACTTAAAGTCCTCTATAAAGCAACAGTAAATCAAAATGAGAGAGGCAGACTGTGAGGGAGTGTTGGTTGATGGTTGGGAGGCAGAGAAAGAGGGGTGAGAGTGCTACCCGGATAATTGCCTGCTCCGCTTGGCAGTGTCTGCTCTGCGGTTCAGCAGTAGCATGTTGGTTCACACACAGCAGACATGCAAATATGCAACGCAGAACTCTGCCTTGCCTCTGTAAAAACTGAACGTTTATGAAACTGAAAGTTGCCAGAAACGTTATGGGTGCATGCTGGGTAACACGGCACAAGTGATGTCAGACTGAAAGTCTGAAGTTTTTATGAGAATGGGGCTAACTTTGTGGGGAGAGGAAAGGTTTTCAGATAGGTTTCATTCTGAAAGCTAAAAATAAGGAGTGTGATTTTCTCTGACAGGATGGGAACTGATTTAAGACCCTGCTGCTTATTAAGTCATTTAAAAGAACGTTTGTGAACCACAGCAAAGAGGCTGTGATCACAGAGCTATTAAACATTTTAAGCAGGAGAAAACTCTCTTATTCCATTGGATTTTCAGCTCAATGCTAGGAGTTTCAGTGCAGCTTTGACAACACAATACCAGAAGCCACAGTGGAAAGTAAAGCTG